AGCAGGATCTCAACTTTCACCTGTAGGAGCCTCATCAGGAAACAACACCAGCGTCTGTTAGATCACTGTGGGTGGAGACAGGATCAGGCAGTATGTACATGCTTTAAGGCATGACATGAGGTCCAAAGCCTCCTTCCAGAACCACAGAAGGAGTCAAAGCCAGTCCTTGCTAAGACTACCTAGAGAGGCAGATGGTACATGCTGCCTGTGCTGTGGAAACACACTAACAGGCCTAAATGAATATTTCAGTTATTTGCAAGGTACACCAGGGGATTGAGGAGGTAGAGACACAGAAAAGGAGGCCTAAAGTCACTGAGTTATGATATCTGATCAGGGCATGTAAGTGCTATGGTTGTAGATAAAGACAATTGATTAGTGATTGTACAAGGAAGAGACAGATGAGGCAAAGGTGAATTTGCATTGGGCCTCAGTAGTTGGAGGCAAATGCCTGGGATTGAGGTAGAGAGCAGGGCCGAGACCTAACCTTGGATCCAACTTCCTCTCCTAGAACAGGATTATTGAACATGGTGGGCTGGGGGTCCAGGAACCAATCAGTCCATCAGAACTACACCAGGGCAGACACAGCATCATTCAGATTGCATGAGTAACAGCATCATGTAAGTCTTGCCCACCCAATACAAGACCATGAGAGCAGCCTGGTGCTAGCAAAAAGTCACAATCTAGGAACTGAGGCTGCAAATATGAATAAACAGCCAAAATTTTGAAAAGCCATCCAAGTGACACAGTTGATTAGAGTTCTAGACCTGGAATCAAGAAGACATGAAATTGAAATGGCCTCACACTTAGTAGATGTGTGACACACTTAAGGGCAAGTCCCTTAAGTCTGCCTCATTTTCCTAATCATATTTGTAAAGCTCTTTGTAAATATTAGTAGTAATAGTAGAAGCAGCCGCAACTAATATTTATATAATATTGTAAGATGTGTAAAGTGCTTTATACATGTTAAAACTAGACATGGTTAAAAGATAGAAACACAAATGCTATGTTATGCTTAAATGCATCATAGATAAAATTGTATCAGTATTTAATATATGCACTGAAATGATGCAGTATAAGGACTTGAATGGAATTTTTTAAAAAAGTTAGATATGGGGGCGACTAGGTGGCACAGTAGATAGAGCTCCAGTCTTGGAGCCAGGAGGACCTGAGTTCAAATCTGGCCACAGACTCTTGATACTTACTAGCTGTGTGACCCTGGGCAAGTCACTTAACCCTGATTGCCTCACCAAAAAGCAAAAAAAAAATAAATAAATTAGATATTATATCTTTCCAACAACTAATAAATGGGAATCAGAAGGAATATACAAATTATTTAGATATGTGTGACCACGTACTAGGGCATATGAGACTCATAAGAAAATATAGAATAGCAAAAATTTTAAGTACTTCCTTTATTGGTAACAATGCAATAAAATTATAATAAATAAAGGGCATTTGAAAAAAATGTTCCAAATAAAGTGAAAACTAAATAATATACTAAATATTATATATATCAAAGAACAAATCATAGAAACAATAGATAAATTTTGTCCGTGAAAATGATGAGTCTAATTACTAAAACTTTTGAAATGCTGTTAAAGCAGTCCTTTGGGGAAAACGTTTACCTCTAAACACTTTCATCAACAAAAGAAAAAAAAAGAACAGGTAAATGAATTGTGAATGCTACAAAAAATTTAAAAAGCAATAATTTTTAAAAACTAAATGCAAAAATAGAAATACTGAAAATCAAAGAAGAGAAGAAATTGACAAAAGTGAATTGAGAAGCAAATCTAGAAGATCTTTTTTAAAAAAGCTAGTAAAACAGACAAATCAGTAGCTAATTTTATTTTTATTAAGGGAAAAAGGAAAACCAAATTATCATACTAAAAAATAAAAAGGAGGACACAAAATATATGAAGAGGTAAGTCAAGTCGAGGCAACAGGTAAATAAATATTAAGCATTTAGTAGACATTGTGCTAAGCATTGGAAGTGCAAAAACAAGCAAAAATGAAAGAAGAAAAGGTAGTCTTTGCTCTCAGAGAGCTTACGTTCTAATGATGAAAGATAATCCATAAAGGAGATCTGAAAATCCAGTAGGGGGAGAGGAAGGAAGGAAGATACCTGGGAAGGGGCATGGTAGCTAAGTCTTGAGAAGAAGAACTGAGAGCAAAATGAAGGATGGCCAACCTGAACCCTCCCTCAAAATAGAGGATCCAAGCCACTGGTGGAAGAGGTGGGGAGAGATGCAAGGGGATGTTCCAAGGCAAGAAGGCCACAAATGCTGAGAGAAGTTCCAGAGTGTGAAGGCAGCTGAGCCATGGTGGCAAAATTCTGAAAGTCAAAAACATAGCCAGGGAGAAATGAAGGATGAGGAAACAGTGAAAATGACTAGAAACTATTTTGCCTAATTTTTTTGTCAATAAAATTTATAGCATAAATGAAATAGATAAATGTTTACAGAATTATAAACTACCTAGAATAATAGAAAAACAGTATTTAAGCAACCTAGTTTCAGAAAAAAGAAGTTAAGCCATAAATCAATTCCCAAAGAAGAGGTAATGAGGGGGATAGGCCAAAACTGATTTATAAGTGAATTCTATAAACCATGCAAGGGTTCACAAGCATGCAAGGAACAATTAGGTCTATTATTTCACTGTTTGTAAAAATGGAGTAAGAATTTATTCTATTAGACTCCTTCTACAAGATAAATATGATCCTAATACTTTAATCAGGGTGAGATGATGCAGGAAAATAAAATTATGAACCAATATCTCTAATGAACATTGATGCAAAAATATTAAAATATTAGGAAAGAATTTGCAGCATTGTATATGATGGTATTCTTGGATTTATACCAGAAATGCAGGGCAGGTTTAATATTAGGAAAAATATAAACATAATAGATGATATTAATAATAAAAATAGTAAAAATACATATTAATGGTTAACATTTTTGACAAAATACAACATAAAAGACTATTTTTAATATGGTAAACAATATATACGTAAGACTAAGAACTAGCATTATATGTATAGATTTATAGTATCCAGATCAAGGGAGGTTATTGTTTAAATTGTCTGTACCACATTAGAGAGTTCATATTTTGTGGAAGGTAAATAAAATTACAAAGGGTTCCTAGAAACCATGTCTTATAAAAATTCACTGAAGAGCTGGAGATATTCATCCTGTACAGTGGAAGATTTCAGAATGGGAATATCTTGACATAGTTGGAGGGTCATGTAAAAGATGGCAGCACTTTCTAGCACTAGAGGGCAGAACTGGGACCAATGAGTGAAAATTAGAGAAGATGAGTTTGTTGCAGCATAAGTAAGATCTTTCTGATAATCATATCTGTCCATAAATGAAATGGACTACCTCATGAAATAGTAATGTAACTCTACTATGACATCACATAATAAACATATTAAAGAGTGGCAAAACAAAGTTCTGTGAGAGGTACAAGAAGGGGCTCATCACCAACAGGGTGGATCAATGAAGGCTTTATGGAGAAAGGGACATTTGAGTTGGGTTTGAAAAGGAATTCTGTACATGAAGAATCATAGGTTAATAGCTGTAGAGTTGGAAGGAACCTTTGAGGCCCTTGGTTACAATCCCTTTATTTTACCAATGAGTATATTGAGGTGCAGAAATGTTAAGTTATTTGCCCAAGAACACATTGCTAGTAAGTTTCAGAGCCAGGGTTTGAACCCAGATCCTCTGTCTCCAAATCCAGGACACTGTCAAGAGTGCCAGGCTGCCTCTAAGTTTGAAGACATTCCAGAGGACAGCCTTCACAAAAGCAGAGAGGCAGAAGAGTGTAGCAGGTGTCTAGGGACCAGAGAGTACATCCATCAGTTTGACTGAAGACTAGGGTGAGTGAAGTAGAATAATATAAGATAAGGTTAGAAAGGTGATAATAATAACTCACATTTATATAGCATTGTTTTTCAAAATACTTTGCAAACAACAACAGTGTGAGGTTAAGTAATGCAAGTATTATTGTCCCCTTTTGCAGTTAAGGAAAATAAGGCTTTGAGAAATTCTATGATCATTGCTATGATCACACAGCAAGGAAAGTATCTGAATTGGAATACAATCAAATCTCTCTCTTGAGACCAGTGTTCTGTTCACAATGCCACAGTGATAGATTGTGGGGCCATATTATGGAGTGCCTTAAAGTCTGAATTTTACTTACAGTATAAAAAGACACTGAAGAGCTTTCAGTTGAGGACTGACATGATCAGATAAATATATGAGAAAGGTTTTTTTTCTAGCAGTAGCATGAAGAATGGATTGGAATGGGGAAATTGTGGAAATAGGAAGACTGATTAGGTCACTATAGCTATAATCCAGGTGGGTGGTAATGACGACCTGTGTCAGAGTGGTATTAGTGGGAATTGAGAGGAGATGGTGAAGATATAAAATGTTGCAGGGGTATATAATTGAAAGGACTTAGTAACTGATTGAATATGAGAGATTCAGGAGAGAGAAGAGTAAAATACAACCCTAAGCAGATGGTTGATAACCATTTTTCAGGGATGTCGTAGAGAAGATTCTTTTTTTTTTTTTCATTAGGACAATGGACTAGATAACCTTTACATTTCCTTTGAATTCTGTGATTCTCTGATTGATCCCAAATTATATAGCTGCTTAGGTTTAGGCCTAGAATTCCCTTTCTCTTCTAGGCTGCTTGTTGCCCAGTATCCAATTTGAACCTTTTGGAAGATAAGAGAATGGGAACAGGCATAAGGGAAGAACCCTAGAATTCAAAGTAGTGAGGGACTCCTTGCTGATATTCAGAATTGTTAATCACCTGGCCTGATTAGGGAACTCTGGTTACAGAATTATTCACCATCTACTTAATTTAATCCATGTAATTATTCAGGCTGTAAAGCCGCTAGAGATACTGATTTCTGATGTATAAAGGAAAGTATTTACTGTGGAAAAATACTATCAATAGCTATACATAAACTCTGTTTTCATTTTTTCTTTTTCCAGTGGCAGGAGAACTATTGCAAACTGATTCTCCGAGAAGCCAGTAGGATCCCTGAGTTGCTACATAAGGAAGTTCAGCAAGCCTTCCTCACCTTGCGGAAGCATGGCTGCTTATTCCAGGATCTAGTCCAAATCAAAGGGAAAAATTTACTCACACCAGTATCTCGTCTTCTCATTGGAAATCCAGGGTACACCTATAAGTATCTGAACAGCAGACTCTTCACTGTGCCATGGCCAGTGGAAGGTTCCAACATAAAATATACTGAAGATGAAATATTTGCAGCTTGTAGAGCTTTCTCTAAGCTCAATGACTACCTTCATAAAGATACAATCCAGGCTTTGAACAAGCTACGTTTTGTCAAATCTGAGCAAAATGAAGACAGTACAATCTTTGGAATGGTACCAGAACTCTCCAAGAGTGGTTTGGACATGGGAGATGATATGGAACTCAAGAAGAGGACAACCTACAATTTGACTTTATTGAATTACATGGATCCTCAGGAAATGTCCTACTTGAAAGAAGAGCCTTATTTTGGGATGGGGAAAATGGCTGTGAGCTGGCACCATGATGAGAATCTAGTAGAAAGGTCAACAGTGGCAGTATACAGTTACAGTTGTGAAGGTACAAAGGAATAACATCCTTGAGTAAATTCTGGCTGGCATGCCTTAGGTCCTAGGGCTTTCTTGTTTCTTCTTCTTATTTTTTTAAATTATCCTTCATTTTTCAACACATCCCCATTTTTGCAAGATATATCTCTCTCTGGGTCTAGATATGCCCTTGTTCATTACAACTCAGAAATATTACATTTTCGTATTTTTTGCCCATGCTCAGGAGAGAGAGGCCTTGATTTTATGCAGCTGGCCATGTCTGTAGAACCTTGAGCAGGCTGCAGTGCTATTCTAACTGACTTACTGACAAAGGGCCAGGAAAACAAAAATCAGTCAAATCTTTTTAGGTTATCACAGGTACACATTTCCTGTCTTGCAAAAATACTTGATTACAGTTGACATCACTGTCTTTATAGGAACACTTTGTCAACTCTAGACTTGCCCTTGGCTTATAGTGCTGTTCATACTGACTCTGAAGCCAACTCATAATCCACTATGCCACACTGCCTACTGATTCTAGTCATTTACATAAACTCCTTATCACAAGGCAGCACCGTAGTGATGATGTGTGAGTCCTTCCTTGCCAAAACCATGCGGGGCTGACTCTGCAGCCAGGTATTTCTATATTTTCAGAGCCTTTCCTAGATCCTTACCTGGGCACATATATAATCTTGTATGGGAATACCCTTTGCTTTTCCTGTGGCTGAAAAATCTCCATGAGTTTCTTGAAATTTAAATTAAGTCAGATATCATCTGACCTCTTTGAAATAAAGATCAGTGGTACAGCTTTAGAAAGATACCTTATATAGCCAATCCCATTTTCTTTTGCTTGTTGCTTCTGTTTCTGTGAGCCTAAGATTCCTGATCTTTTTCCTCTCAGTGCTTCTGGGATGGTGGTTCAATGGGGAGGTTCAGGAAAATGTTGTCCTGCTTGGACCTTTACTAACTTCTCTCCTGAATTTTAGGAAAGCTATCCAACTGATAGACACAGTCACCTCAAGGTCAAGTTTCTCATCTCCCTGGTCTAAATAGATGTCTCTGACTAGCTATGTTTCCCCTGATGTCTGTCAAGGGTAGAGTAATGGCTAGGGGTTGGCTTGTACTTCCAGAATTTCATTACTTAATTCGGTGATTCTTGATAGTCTTTTTGGACTGTTAGGACGTTCCATATGGCTCTGATTTCCATTGCTTACCTTTTTCTCTTAGCAGTGGTTTCAGCATAGTAGCAAGAAGTCATCTTTATAACCATCTCTCCAACCAGCTCAGTTCCACAAACATTTATTAAGTGCCTTCAGTGTGTAAGATACTCTGCTAGGTGCTGAGAATAAAGAAAAAAATAATTGCTGCAGTCCTTCACATCTTCAAGGCATTTATATTCTGTAGGAGATGAAGAGGTTAGGAGGTTGGGAGAGGATAGGATAGTAACAGAGTTAAAATACAAAATATTTAGTCAGCCAGTCCCTTTAAATGAAGGTCAAGTCATACATTTATACCCTAAATTCTCTTCATACACCCTGCAGACCCTGCAGTCCAGGCTGCCTCTTTTTGCTGAGTTTCTCACACATGATATGCTACCTCCTCTCCCATACCTTCTGTCTCCCTTATGCCTGGAATGTGCACCTTCCTTACTGCCACTTCTTAGAATTCCTAGTTTCCCTCAAAGTTCAGCCCAACCCCTGCTGACTGCACGGTCCTCCCAGCTGTTAGTGCTTGCTACTCAGAATTACCTTGTATTTATTTGGTCTGTATTTTTTTTTTTTTTGTACTTATGTGTGATCGTCCCCACAAAAGAAGTAAGCTTCTTGAAGACAAAGAGTGTCTTTGACTTTTTCATTTTGTCTGTCCTCCAGCACCTGTGGGTACTTGTTGATTGGCTGATTGATTTGTGTAGCTGGAGCTGATAGCATTCATGAGAGGACCAGGCATGGGGCTTAGAAAAATTTGAAGTTGGAGAAAACTCTTTCATTTGAAGAGATAAGGAGAGGCTTCCTGAAGGATCTGGCACCTGAGCTGAGCCTGAAAAGAAGAAAAGGATGCTGATTGCTGGATATAAGGGGATTGTAAACTGAGAAACAGTTCTCACAAATAATAATTTGTTGTTCAGTCATTTTTCAATCTTGTCCGACTCTTCATGACCCTGTTTGGGATTTTCTTGGCAAAGATACTGGAATGATTTGCCATTACTTTCTCCAGCAAATAATAATGATAATAATAATAATAATAATAGCTAACATTTATAGAGTGCTTACTATGTGCCAGATACTGTGCAAAATGCTTTACAATTATTACCTTATTTGGTCTTCACAACAACCTTGGGAGGTAGATGCTGTGATTATCCCCGTTTTACACATGAGGAAACAGAGGCAAACAGCTATTAAGTGATTTGCCCAGGGTCACACAACTAGTAGGCTGCATTTGAAATCAGGTCTTCCTGCTTCCAAGGCCCAGCGCTAAATCCACAGCACACAAATGCATAGGGACAGAAAATAGCATGCCATTTTCAGGTCCCAGATAATTAAGTATCTTCAGTTAACCAACTGAGATCCTTTTTGGGGGCAAGATATTCCACCAGTTTCCCTGAATCTAACACAGTCATGCCATCCTAGTAACTTTTTCATTAATCTTTTCCTCTCCCAGTGGAAGAAACTGGTGTAATCTAAGCTTTTGTAAACCTTTGCTCAAGGAATTAAGTATTCTATCTGGGAATGCTGATATAAAAGTACAATGGAGTTAGTTTCCTTATTTTCTAAGGAAATGACTCTCCTGAATTGATGCCATTGGTATATGGTAACACTGAAGTGCCACAAAAAATGCTTTTGTGGTCAGACACATTCTTCAGTTTAATAGTCTGACTATAGGCCCATAGCAAGAGATACAGCCTTCCTTCTAGTTTTGAAACCTAGAATAGCATTTGAAGCAGTTTTGAGTTTGACTTTTTAATAATTAGAATTTATTTGGAGAAGTAGTTAAGTCAGACTTTTGCTAAACAAAATTACGATACATATTTTAAAAATGGTAACATTTACACCTTCCGCGGTAACATTGGGTCAGCACCTTTGCTGAACAACTGAATTACAGACAGATCTTTGGCAGGGGTAGGTGAACAAATATGAAAGTCCCATTTATGACACATTTTTTTTCTGGGTTCCAGGATATATATATCTCATTTGAGATGAGCTATTTTATTATATTTTATTATTAGAGACAGCTAGTGGTACTGTGGATAGAGTGCTGGGCCTAGAGTCAGAAACAGTTTTAGACAGTTCTAATTGTTTTTTTTAAAATTTATTTTGATTTATCAACAATCACTTCCATAAGCTTTTGAGTTTTAAATTTTTCTCCACCTTCCTCCTCACCTTCCTCCTTAAGACGGCAAGCTATATGATATAGGTTATACATATACATTTGTGTTAAACATATTTTCATATTAGTCATGTTGTAAGGAAGAATTAGAACCAATAGAAGGAACCACAAGAAAGAGGAAACAAAACAGAAAAAAAAGAGCAAATAGTATGCATTGATTTGCATTCAAACTCCATAGTTCTTTCTCTGATGTGAACAGCATTTTCCATCTTGAGACTTTTGGAGATGTCTTACATCCTTGCATTGCTGAGAAGAGCTAAGTCTATCAATGTTAGTCATCGCACAATGTTCTCCTGGTTCTGTTCATTTCAGTCAGCATCAGTCCATGCAAATTTTTCCAGGTTTTTCTGAAATCCATCTGCTCATCATTTCTTATAGCCACAATAGTATTCCATTACATTCATATACCACAACTTGTTCAGCCATTCCCCAATTGATGGGCATCCCCTAGATTTCCAGTTCTTTGCCACCACAAAAAGAGCTGCTGTAAATATTTTTGTACGTATAGTTCTTTTTCCCATTTGTATGATCTCTTTGGGATACAGCCCTAGAAGTGCTATTGCTGGGTCAAAGGGACAGTTCTAATTGTTGAGAAAGGTTTCCTTTATACTGAGTTGAAATGTGCCAACACAGGAAGACCTTAGTTCGAATCCAAACACAAATACTAGTTGTGTGACCCTGAGCAGAGTAACTGAACTTCTGTCTGCCTCAGCTTCCTCAACTGTAAAATGGGGATTATAATAGCACCTACTTCACAAGGTTGTTGTGAGGATCAAATGAGATAATATTTGTAAAGTGCTTAACACAATATCTGGCACATAGTAAGATGCTTAATATTAACCCTCTCCTAAAGTCTTACTCCAAAATGATTTCAAATATAGTTGTGGTGATGGACTGATTGTTTTCTGAGGACCAGCCTACCTATATTTGTTGCACGGTCCTGAAGTTTCTGATCACAACTCATGAGAATAGTCTACTAAGTTGTAGAGGTGTTAACATCTGTGCAGGTGGTGGTAGGACCTGCACCGATAAAAACTGCCTTGAAATGTTGAACTATCTCGTATGCATTTGCTTGAGTCCCAAATGTCAAGTCATATATTCTGGTTCATTTAGTTTCCTTTGGATGCAGCCATAACTATATTAGGAATTGGATTGGAGAGAATGGCTTTCTAGGTTTAATTTCTGTCTCTGTTCACTCACTCCCCCCCCCCAAAAATAAAAACAACAGTTCTCAATTGGGCAGCACTTAAGATCTGGACATTAAAAAGGGCTTTATAATGATTCTATTGCTTTTTGTTTTCTAAAATAATGAGACAGATCAAAGTTCAATGTTTCATTTCTTTGTCATCACTATCTTTTTTTTTTCCAATGAAATGTTCATGTTGCTTCAAGTGAGCCATCATAGAATCACAGAATCTGAGTGTTTGAAGGCCTGTCCAATTTGTACCTGGGTGACAATACCTTTTATCATATGCCCTACAAGTGGCCATTCGACCTTCACTTGAATATCTTTAGTGATGGGGAAACTCATTACTTTCCAAGGTAGTCCATTTTACTTTTGGGCAGTTCCAATTGTTAAGAAGAGTATCCTTTCTACTAAGCTGAAATGTACCAACCAAAGGTATGAGGATATAATTTAGAGTGACAGAA